TACAAATTCTGGGCCACCAGCATCATCGCTAAGCTTGTGTGTTATTTTACTGATAGCACCAGAAGTGTAATGGGGCCAGAGAGCGAGTTAACAATATCACTGACGGGTTGTAGGACCTGGAGACAGGGCAGGACATAAGAATAGGGGGTAGACTCTAGGAAGCAGGAAGATGAATGGCGAAGTGAGTCTGCCCAAGCCCTGGCTGCAAATCCTTGAGCAACAGGACTTGTCTTATAATCATCTTTAACCACACGGAAGTTTGAGAGATAACTGCTCTGGTGATAATTTCACAGTCGTGAAATCTGTCTGATGTGCTGGTAAACATGTCAGTTCAGTATTCTCTCCCTGACTCTCATTACGGTTTCAGTCCTGAGGGTAGACGTTTATTGGGGACTTTCTTAGTTGGAAGGGGAAACAGGAAGTGGGAGGTAAGAGACTACTCCACCGTGTTTTAGATCTTACTGCTGCTTGGTTCCTAATTGTAAACACCTTGGGAAGCTTTGATGATATAGAGCACACATAGAGATCAAACATGTGAATTTAGGTTAACCAGATTTTTTTTCCTCTCGGATGAATTCAGGGACGACATTTCTGAGTTAATAAAGGTTCTGAGAAAGAAGTGGCCCTGGACAACACCTTTATTCTCTCCTCTTATCACCCCCCCAACCCTCACAGCCCCCCCTCCTCTATCACCATTATTGCTCAGCCTGAATCATTCCATTCCTCTCTGAGGGAGCAGCACGCCCAGCAACAGCAGTGAACCCCAGGTACTTTTGAGTCTCTAGTCTGTAATGGACTTGACAAAATGCCAGATCTGGTAGGATGAAAAAGCAGGAGCTTCATGTTAAGGGAACTCATTAGGTTTTTGTTCCTTAATCTGCACCTAAGTTAGCAGAAGCATTCCCAGGTGCCTTGTGTTGGAAAGGTTTTGTCACAGTAATGATACTAACCTTCATCAGCATGGCATCTCCTCACTCCAGGTACCCATCCTGTTTAGTGAGGCAAGCATCTTACGGATGCTGAAAACAACTAAGGAGCCTTTCATCTTGTGGTTTAATACACAACTCTTTCATGATTGATATAGCTGGAGAAATTAATCGTGCAGAGGTCACCCTATGGTATTTGATAATCTCTAAAAGTAGATTAATCTTGGGGCTGGAGAGATGGCTCAGTGGTTAATAGCACTGACTGCTCTTCCAGAGGTTCTGAGTTTAATTCCCAGCAAACACATGGTGGCTCACAAACATCTGTAATGGGATCTGATGCCTTCTTCTAGTGTGTCTGAAGACAGCTACAGTGTACTAATATACATAAAATAAATAAATCTTTTAAAAATATATATTAATCATACATTCTCAAATTCTCCATGAGATCCTTAGGCAATAGAGAAAGAACAAGAAACAACACAGAGTCAGTTATTCTCAAAAGGAAACTTAAGAACTGACAAAGCAATAGAACACCTCTGTACCACAGAGAGGTCTGTAAGATGTCACCAGCAAGAGAAAGACAAGAGTGTTTGAAGGTATTTCTCCATTTACATAGAGTAATAAAATGTCATAGTAAATAGTTAAGAAAACCTATTTAAATTTTTTTGTGCTATACATCAACTTTATCATGTGAGTTTTATGTAATTCTTCACTTAAATGGTTTATAATCATAGTTTTGCAAGTGTTTATATCTAAGGGAAAAAATCCTTAGGCTATTCTTCATGAGACAAAATTTTTGTCAACATAGAAAAGTCTATGAAATAAACTATCCTAAGTTCAGGCTAGGATTTTAAAAAGTGCTACAGCTGTAAGGTTAAAAGAAAAACAATACAAAAATAAATAAATCTTTGACGGGCAGTGATGGCGCATGCCTTTAATCCCAGGACTTGGGAGGCAGAGGCAGGCAGATTTCTGAGTTCGAGGCCAGCCTGGTCTACAGAGTGATTTCCAGGACAGCCAAGGCTACACAGGGAAACCCTGTCTCAACCCCCCCCCCCAAAAAAAAAAAGAAAAGAAAAACAAATCTACTGAACATTTCAATTGTGCTTAAAATACCTTTATTGTTGCATGAGAAAAAAAGAGAGAAGCAGGGAGCAGGGGCAGGGGAGGGAGGGAGAAAGACTACATAACACTGTTTTCTTACACTTAAAAGTGAATAATAAAACCAAAACCTCATAAAGATTTCTAGGTCCATGTCATCATCCATCAACAGTAATCACAGCTCGAATGGAAGACACATTTTACCACTCCCTGGTGAATAATAATGGAGTTGACGGTAGCCTTGGGAATTGAAGAAACTCAAAAAAAACACAGAGAAAGTCTGACTTCAGATGAAGTTAATTACTGTTATCTGTGAATCCTAGGACAACTCTCCCATTGTTCTCTGTGGTAGGGTAAGGAAGCTTTGTTCTCTGGCTCAGAAGAACACACCTTTTGCTACTTGAAAATTTCATACGAAAGTAAAAATGTCCTGTGTGACAAATACTAAACTCTATGTAGGCAAATAGATCTCAGGTCACTAAAGACATGAAAATATTTGTCTAAAGACACATGGAAGCTCTAATGATTACTTTCTAGTCCCTGTCCCCCATCTCAGGGCCAATGTTTAAACAAACATAGGACCTCATGAATGGCAGGCAAGCATCTTATCACAGAGCCATGTCTCCATTTGTGTAGGGGCAATTTATACATATTCCAGATCTTTTGCACTAAATTGAGTATGGTAAGTAAAATACAAACATATGGGAAGATCATAAAAAAAGCACACAGAAGAACGAACGGCCAACAGACATACATTTCTTTCTGAGCTAACAGGTTTTCCTGAGAGCTAGTTCAGAGGTCCTTTGAAAGTTTGGCCAGTCTTACTTTGCTACATCAGTTTAACATAAAAACAAGTCAGAACATTTGCAAGGCAAGATGTCGTTTTCCTTTATGTAGTCAGTAAAAGACCAGCTCTAAGGTTAGGCTGTAATAATGAAAGAATTTGGGAGCAGCTGATTTTAGACTTATAAAAACAACTCACCCTTCCGCCTCAAGGCATCCTGAATATGCAGTGTGCATTGTGCTTCAAGGGTCAAGGCGAGGAAGTCTGCCTTGTTTGTAATGAGATGAACTCATATGAAGGAAAAAATGAGAAGAAGTTACTTACCGAGTGATCTGTGAGTTGGTAACACTTTGTATCATAAAATCCTGCATGCTATTGCCTTCCCCTTAATCTCAGCACTCAGGAGACAGAGGCAGGAGGATTTCTGTGAATTCTAGACCAGTCTGGTCTACAAAGGGAAGTCCAGAACAACCAGGGAGGTTACAGAGGAATTCTGTCTTGAAAAACCATAAAACAAAACAAAGCAACACCCCCCTCGCCCAAATCATGAATTTTATTGTTGCTGTTCTAAAGTGTGTAAAGGTTAATTTATATGTTTCTTAAACATTTAGGAGTGGCACATTAATTTATTAATGGTCATGTGTGAAGGCTTGAAGTTTTGGGGTATTTACGGCTTGTGTGGAATTTTATATACCATAGATATTGTAGATATCATATTTAAAAATTTTTAGATATCATATTTTTAAAAGTGTGCTTTGGGGAAAGGTGAGGGGTAGAAGCTTGTGATACATTGCTTTAATTAGGGAATGACGGATATGCTTGAGAAGAGCTGTTAAATGTTTCTTTGCTATTTTGCATTATTCTAACTGCCGCTCATAAATTATCATTTAATTTCCCTGTCTCTAGGAGGTAGATATTGTTTACATTTACCGAATCATCAAACTGAGGTACATGGCCACACTACATACACTCCATAGCAAAAAACACAAAGACAAACCAAATAAAACACCACGGTGCCAGGACTAGAATCCAGGCAATTGCACCATTTGCAGATCAAATCAACGTATTAAGTTTAGTTAGGTTCTGTATTTATAACTGACTGCTTAGGACGCAAGCCACTTCTTTCGGGTTACTTTAAAGCCACCATTAGCAGATATTCGGAAAGAGATTTGTCCCCTATTACAAACTTCCCAGTGATTCACAAGTTACTCAGCTGACTTCTCTACACCCATTGCTCCACCCAAGCTAGCTCATTTTGCTGTTGCATAGCAACAGAACATCCTGAACACCAGAAGGCGGTGCAGCCTCCCAGGATCTAGCAAGGGGCCTCCCAGGGGCTCCTCGGCGTCTAGCAAGGGGCCTCCCAGGAGTCGAGCCCGGGGCGCCCCCAGAATCTAGCAAGGGGCCTCCTAGGGGCCCCCCAGGGTCTAGCAAGGGGCCTTCCAGGAGTCCAGCCAGTGTCTAGCAGGGGCCTCCCAGGGGCCCCCAAGGGTCTAGCAGGGGGTTTAGTTCTCAAACATCTGAATCCTAGACCGACTCGGTCGGATCGACTGCCCTGCTTCCTATTCTGCGCCATAATACATTTCCTTAGGTTAGATTTTCTCAGATTTGACCAAAACATGTGAAGCCAAACAGGGGTGGGCAAGGACCAAAATAAAGGGGCGAGACAGCGAGGCAAGCTGGGGATGCTCTCTACTGCACGTGCGGAGACGCTCGGATAGATTCCGATCAAGCCTGCTTCCAGACCGCTCTTCTGCGACCACAAAAAGCTAAGGAGGCGTTCACCAGCAGGGAGGCGAACGGGCCCCACGACTTCCGGCCCTGCCACGTCTAAGGAAAAGCCTTTGCGGTGGTGAAAGCGGAGACTGCCAGGGGGCGGGCGTGGGGGCGGTGCTCTCGGGCGCGCTACCCAGATGGTGCAGCTCCCCGGAGAACTGCTTGGGAAGGCGGCTGGCACAGCAACCCGCAAAAGAAGTGGCGAGCGGAAGCGCGCCCCCCTCAGGCCCGTCCAGAGGCCTAACATCGTTTTTCCAAGGATGCCACCCTAAGGCTGGGGATCGCGCGCGCGTAGCCGAGCCCTGGAGCGCGCCGGCCAGTCCTGCCAATCACGAGCCGTGCCCGCCTCCCGCCTGGCCCCGCCCCGTCCCGTGGCTGAGGCGCGCGGCCCTCGGCGCACGCGCAGTCGGAGCTGTACAAGCACATCCGCCCGCTACGGTCAAGCTAGCCAATCGTATGGCTCTCCTGCGGTGGGGCTCCGCCCCCGGGGCGAGGTCAGTGTACTGCGGGCGCTACGCTGGTTGTGTGTACGCTGTGTTTGTGCTGTGAGCCTGGCTGACGAAGGTACTGAGCTTTGTCCCTGGTGCTGGCTTGAGCGGCAGGCTTGCGGGTGCCTGACTATCTGATAGAGAAGCTCTTCCGGGCGGCGCGGGAGCTCGGCCTCCTGCTCTGTAGGGTAGAGGGCTTTCTGTGGTGAGGGAGGAGGCGGGAGTGGAGAAGGAGGGAGACGGGGGTTGGAAAAGAGAAGAGCGCGGGAGGGAGCTGGAGGAGAGCGCTTTCTGTGGTGCGGAGGCGACCGAGGGAGTGGAGAAGGAAGAAGGAGAGGGACGGGGTGGAGGAAGAGGGGAGCTGAGGGGGGAGGGCTTTCTGTGGTGAGGAGGGTGAGGGAGAAAGGGGGCGGAGGAGTGGGTGGGGCGGAGAGGGGCGGGGCTTGGCGGAGAAGGTGGGGCGGAGTGGGGGGAGAAGGGCGGAGGCTTTGACCCCAGTAAACCCAAAGGGGCAGAAGATGCTTTCTGACACCTCGGCACTCATTCTTGGTTCTAAGCACAAAGCTTTTAAGATTCAAGATTCGGACTGTATCGCTTTTATTTACGAAATTATAACAAAAATTAAAATTCGTGACTAGGTATAGTTAGTTCCCTTGCCCGAAATGCAAATTTTTGGAGATGTTTTGAAGGAGAAAATTGAGAGTCAGTGAGATACTAGCCGGTTTATTTGTCTTGAAAGAAACAAAACTTGGTTACTCCCCGTGTGGAGAGGTAAATGGAAAAATATGAAAAGAATTAGAATAAATTACAGCTACATATAATTGGAAGAAATTGCTGGCTTTTTTTGGTGTTTAATTCACTGAAGAAAATTTTGTTGAGAAAAATTGAGGTCTGTTTTGAGATAATTAATTTGATTATCATTCGTGTCTTTTCCTTTTTAGAAGGAAATCAGGAGATCACTACCAAGATGGAAAATCCGTCAGATTCAGCATCTACTTCACCTGATGCTCCTCAGACTAGTGAGAATCCACCATCACCCCCGACTTCACCTGACACTCCTAAGACCAGTGAGAATCCACCATCACCCCATTCGAATAGTTCAGGAAAGCAAGTATGAACATCTTGTGTTGTCTGTCCTCTGCCACCCCCCAATCTGTTCTGTGCTTCAAAGTATTCTGATAGTGATAGTCCTGAGGATACGGGAGTGTGAATTAATGTATAGCCCATACCTTTCTAACTGCCAAGATTTTCTTCTTGAATCAGTTCATTTTGTTTAATTTCTTATCAGGTTATTGAGGTGCTCCAAACTCAGGAAACTTGAGTCTGTACAGTATTTCTTAGGAGGAAGTCTTTGGTAGCAGGTCTTTTCCTTAGTTTATAGTTCTGAAGCATTTCTAGTATTGTCAGGAAAATACTAGCTGCTAATGATGGGCGAAACGTGTCCTATTTTACTTAACTTTGCTAAAGTAAGACTAAAGGTAGCCTCTTAGATTAGAGACATTGGTGATGCTTGCTTGAGATTTGTGGAGACAGAAAGCCATCCAGTGTATCTATCATAGATGCGTGTAGCCTTTATTTCTAATATAGATTGATTTACTTAAGGATATATTAACATTTTTGATGTTTATGTCTTTTTCAGCCTATTACTGGAACACCTAAAGAGAGATTAAAGAAAGCAAGGTCTTCATCTCAGTCTTTTTGTAGTGTGGTGAAGCGTATTAAGGTTGAGAATGAGGAAAGTGATCAGACCCTTCCAGAACCAGGAGAATCTTCAAAAGAAGAAAATTGTTCAAAGGCCCAAGAAAGCTTGAAAAACAAAGACAGTGAACCTGAAAAAGAGAGCTCAGAGAGTAAAAGTGCATGTGACTCTGAGTCACCTGACACTGGGTCATCTAGTGCCACCCAAAAAGATGCTGAGACCAAGACGACTAAACAAAGTTTAAAGGAAGAAAAAGCAAAATTGACTAGGCAGGTTCAAGAGAAGGAAGACCTTCTTCGGAGGTTAAAGTTAGTCAAGATGTACAGGATAAAGGTGAGAAGAATTTCAGAACCATTGACTTATTTTTACATAAATTGCAGTAATTTCAAAAATTGGAAGTAAATTTTAGTCTGATAGACAGGAAGCCAAATAACAGAAACCTGGGTTACAAGAGCTTTGACTGAAATAGAAGTAATTGGTTCAGAGTGAGGCAGAGAACCCCTTCAACACTGTAAAACTTGAAAGCTGTGGCTTTTGTTTAATGCACAGGTGAAGTGTTCTGGCTTTAATTTCTGGCCAGTAGCAAGATGAGAAGTGTGAGGTGTTAGATGAAGGTGAGTGGGAACAGAACGGGATGACGTTAGGACTAAAAATAGACCAGAGTGCTGGGTGCTGTACTTTAGTGATCCTGTGTCTGATAAAATGGCAGGCATTTTATTTGAGAAAACATGCATTTTAGGTTTCAGCTCACACACATTGAATAAAATAGAACATGGCTGTCTGGAAGGAGGAGACATTTATTATCTGTGTGGTTTTTACCCATGTGTCACCTCATTCTATCCCAAAACTGAAGTAAATGACAGAATAGCATATCTTATGTGTGGTTTTGGATTTTTAGGACTTTTCTAAATTTAACTGATTCCAAATATTGAAAATACTTTAAACTTGAATATTTTTACCTCTAAAAACAGTTTGTGGTTCACAGAAAAATTAGGAAGGTTCAACATAGCATCATATCTTAAAAGTATAGTTATAATACAAAAAGTGTATTGAGAACCTCAATTTGTTCTTGCATTTAATATGGGAATTTAATAATTTTTCTCCTAAGGTTAAAGTTTGCCCAGAGCTTGTACTGCCCTTTATGCCTGTGTTACTGGTCTTTAAAGTTAGACAGGAGCTAACTAGTTTAGTCACTTTGATGGTGTAAGTTAAAATGCATCACATCTGATTACTGACGGACTTTTTCTGTTTCAGAATGACGTGACTGAGTTAGAGGATTTAATAAAGAAGTGGAGGAAATGTGGCCAGCGGCTGCTGCGTGAGCTGCAGTCGATCATGTCGGAGGATGAGGATGAGAAACTGACCCTCACCGAGTTGATCGACTACTATGGGATAGATGACAAATTGTTGCACTATAATAGACATGAAGAAGAATTTACAGGGGTTTGATACTGTTTTGGTTTTTTTTCAGGCTCTTCCCCCCTTTCTTCTTGGGGTGATGGAATCATACCCAGGGCCTCAAAAAAATGGGCTCTTTTCCTGAGCTGTACACTTGGCCCCTTTACAGAATATCTTAGAGAATGGCAATGAAAAGAGAAATGTTTTAAAGGGAAAAAAAAGCTCTAAGCTGTTGTGGCTTGGAGGAACGTTGAACAGTTTGGGATATTCTGACACAAAATTATAAAGTGAAGCTTAGTATTTTGGATATGTTTGCTAAAGAAAATATTTAAGTATGAAAAATTAAAATTGTGTTTAAAAGGAAGTTTGGATAATTTTAGAAACCAGGGTTAATACATTGACTTGGTGGGTGGGGCAAGAGGTTTTATATTCAGTATTAAAAAGTAGTCTGTTGAATGTCTAAACCTCAAGTGGCATAAATGTAACCTGCCCCTCCTAAGTTTATGGACCTATCCTCATCTGCTTAACGTTATCTGTCTGCTAATCTAGCAACTAATTAAACTTACATGGCTACAGTTTTCTCCAGTTTGTTTTCATTTTCCCCATTTACTAAAATGAGCATTTGTTTCTTGGGATGCTTCATATCCTTATTTCCTATACGAAGGTGTTCTTGGCATGGAAGGTTCTTCACAGTTGCCTTTGTAGCTTTATCTGTGGTATTGAGTTCATAGCTCTCAGCCAGAGCCCTATCTGAATAACTAGGGTACCTATCGTCTTAGCTATATGTGAAGCTAGATGTGACCTAAGCTGGCCCAGCTGCTGAGAATTTAGAGCCCATGGGTAAAGCATGTGACTGTTGCTGTAGCTATTGTATGAACTTGGAAAACACAGGGCCGGCATCTTAGCGAGTCTGTATAGACAGGTAGATGGAGGGAGAGCTTTGTGGCTTCCTAGTTCTATCTGCTAATCATTCCTGGAGCCTTCATGATTTCTGCTTTGGGATCTAGAAAAAGTATTAGTTTCTAAATGGGCAGTATTCTAGAGTCTCTCCCAAGAACTTTGCTTTTAGTTGAGCACATCCATTCCTGTCTGATCTAAAAACTCTTGTTTGATACAACGGGATTCAAACCTGTACATACCCAACTACTGTATACATGTATAAATCCCCTCATGCCATCTGCGTTTGCGAATCTGTTCTCTACATAAGGCCACACTATGCCTGACCTAATTGACTATATCACTAGTTGGTAATGAACTGTAAAAAACTACGAACATAATTGATGTCCAGCAGAAGTTGAGAGGAGTTGGTACCGTGAACAGTGTTGATGGATGGCTTAGAGTCCTTCCAAAGCACCCGTCAGACCACTAAACTGGAAGGGATCTTTGGAAAGTCGTCCCCCAGGCTCAGCTTCTCCATGCTTTGAAGCTGAGGCAGCTGAGGAAGGAGCATCACCTAGAGTTGGTGATAAGCCAGAAGTGGCACAGGCTGTTTGGTCCATTAAGACCAGAATTAGCCTGTTAAATTTAGGACTTCATTTAGCTAATGGAGTATTCAGGCAACTCATTTAAATGGCAATACTAGCAAAGAGAAAAACCAAATCTAGTATATCCATGGTTGACTCTGCAGTTGTTGAAGACCTGGCAATCCTATGCTAAGTATAAAGTGCCTGTACCTCTTACCTTACACACCCTCTTGATCCTATCTCTGTGCTTTTCGAAAAGCCTCCCAGAAATCATACAGGACATGTTATCAATGGCTTCTCTGCTAAATCATCTAAACTGACTGCCTTAGAATCATTCTAGTCGTGAGGAAGTCAGCAGAGATGGTGGTCCTGCTGTTCACACACGAAGTGTTGAGCATGCATGGGAAAATCAGTTAATAGACCTTGAGAATTTCTTCTAAATGGATGCCTTTCCTACTTTTTTCACATCTGTGATAGATAGTAGTATTACTTTTTACCTTTTATTGGAAATAGCTTTTTTCCCTTACATATATTCTGATTATGGTTTTCCTTCCCTTTACTCCCAGTTCCTCCTTCCCCTCCCATCCAGATCCACCCTCTTTCTGTCTCATTAGAGAACTAAAACAGGCTTCTAGAGATAAGAGTAAAATAAAATAAGAAAAACTAATACACCAGAATAGGGCAAAACAAACTAAGTGGAAATTTTCATTTTTTGAGGTAGTCTCGTAACCCAGACTGGCAGCCAGTTCTAGTGATCTCGGAGTTACAGGAGTGTGCTCCTAAACGAAAGATGTGTTTTGATTACTCTTTTACCCATCCGAGTATACATTAGATATGGTGACGCACGTTAAGCTTAAATTTAGATTATAAATTGCAGAAAATTGGGACATTGATATCACGTGGAGATGGTAAGTGATCCTGAGGATGTCACTTGGAATCAGCAGACCACAGCTGTGGGAGGGTGGACTGGATTTTGTTTGGCAGCGAGTTATCTTACAGAATTAGTGTATTCTACACGAGTAGAATGAACTATTCCAAGGGAATGAGCACTTGTTTGCTGAACCCTCTTAGGGTTAAAAAAAAAACCCTTGAGTTCTGTTACAATAGGGAAGGAAGGAAGACTGTTTCCAAAACATAGTTTGCAATCCAGTGTTTCTTGGCCGAAAACCATTGTTCTTTAATAAATACAAATGACACTTTATGATAGCTTACTCATTTATTCATGTAGGACAAGTAACTATATTGAGTAACCACCTAAACTGTATTATTAAAACCATGCGGCTGAGAGGTGACCTACTTAAGTCTTCTGACGTTAAGTGACATTAAGTGACGTCAGTTTGGCATTGGTCTGCTCTGTTCCTGCTGGTGTTCTACATTGGGACAAGAGCAGGGAATGTTTTCATCCTCAGTCTTTCAACTTCAGCCTGCAGTATTGAAATCTGCTCAGCTTGCTGCTTAGAGATGTTGGTCAGCTTCTGCTGTTTCATCAGGTTGTCGTAGCGTTCTCTGGCAATCTTCTCACAGGTCAGCTTAGAGCCTAATCCAGAAATGCAGAATGGAAGTAGTTATTACCAACTCTTTCTATACAGAAGCAACACTTAAGATTAACATCAGTCCCGGAGAAGGGGCTGCTGGTAGCTGACTGTTGTTCAACTGTCAGGGAAACTAGTTAGGATCCCTTTAATTGACTGAGAAAAAGAGCTCACCTATTTCATTGCAAATGTCTTGTCTCTCTGAGACGGCCACCAGTTCTTCCCGTAGATTACAGCTTAGGGTATAATTTGCTACATCTTTCTGATTGCTGTATTTTCCCAATTTCTTGAGTAGTTTTTTGCAGTTTTCTACATTCTTCTTATGATTCTGAAATTTTTGTCCCCATGAAACCCCAAAACAATGTTGAAAAAAGTTTATAAAACCATCTTCACTTTTAAAATACTTTATCATCACTAAGATAATACTATACATATCCCCTGTGTCTGTTGGATGCTGTCCATAGTAGACACTCAGGAGTTTTGTTTTGTTAAAAGATAGAATGTTAATACCACACTTCAGATAAGATTTTATATGGTCTTAATGAACATTTTAAAACCTTGGCAATTACTTTCAATCTTACACGCTGTATAGTAAGGCCAGTTGTTACCAAGTTATTCTAAGACAAAAAAATCCAAAATGCCAGGAAAACAATTAGTACTTGTGTGGCTCAAATTTACTGTGAAAGCAAATCCACATTCATCCACATAAATCCCCAGAGATTATTCCCACCAGAGAAATGCTGCAGTCTTATCACTGGCTATGGTTACAAAGACACCATCCGGGGACCTCTGATTTTCATGAATATCAGTAAATTATCAAGTTTCTGTTAGTTTCTGTCTGTGTCCATGACTGAAACATTACTTTGTCCACACGATTCCCAACTGTTTGCTTTGTAATCATTGATATGCTTGAGACTGACCTTATCTATAACACTAATCGTTTGCTCCATTATTCCAATCTGAATGGCAATCACATTCTCGTAGTTCGGTTCATTTAGGTACTTTAAAAAAAGGAAATAAGACAATACATGTAAGGATAATTTTTTTCTATTTCTTTTAGATAACTATAAACAGTTTGGAAAATTACAGTTTTTTATAGCAAATATCTGTAAAGATTAATTTGTTTTTTGTGCTATAATATTTACTTGTGTTTAGCTATCAGTACACTCATCTATGTGTTAATCATTGCAAATACTTAATTTTTTTCATTTAACTCACCAAACATATTGTTTATGTGACCTAGCCGTCAAGAAAAAGGACAAACAGAAACCATTAGGTACCAGAAGATATGTCACGTGTTCAAAAAGCCAGTCTGTGAGGGGTTAAGGTTTCTCTAGATTTGGGAAATCAAGGAGAAAGTGGCATAAGTTAAATGCTGACACATCAAGTAGATAGGATAAAGGAGGTCAGAGGACAAGGGACATAGGAAGGGAAGAAACAGGAGGAGAGAGAGGTGTTCCAGGTTGAAGAGCACCTGTGAACAAAGGCTAATCCATATGGGCCCTTGGAGATGGCTCAGTTGAAACAATGCTTGCCACATAGGCATGAGGAGTTGAGTTCAGATTCCCAGCACCCATTCGAAGCCTCTAACCCCAGCACTCCGGATGCCCTGGAGCTTGCTGGTCAGCCAGTCTAGCTGAAATACATGGAAAAATTCCTGAGAAAGATACCCAATGCTGGTCATTAGCCTACACACACACACACACACACACACACACACACACACACACACACACACACACCTTTCCCTTCTTCCCTCCTCCATGTCATTTGAGAAAACGGATGAATAAGAGGTATATCGGCATCGGTTCCTCTTCCTTGCCCTAAAGGCAAGTTCAAAGACACTGTCCCCCTAGGGACTCTGTAGCTTATTTGGTAGCTAAAGAGGGTTGTTTAAAAATATTTGAGTAGATGTTACTGGCACTAAGTCGGAATTCAGTGTGAGAGCAGTATACAAAATAATAAACTAAGTGGCTTTTGAGAGGGAAGGCGGGGGAGGACAAAATGAGAATGAATGAGGGTATGAGAGACCCCGGGCCAAGAGACTAGTTAGAGACTAGCTGAAAGACAGTGTATCTTACTCTAAACCAGTGAAAATGGAGGACTGACTGAACATCGGTAGAAACAGAGAAAACAAGGAAAAGGTAAATAACTAAACTGGGAAAGACAGGTACAGAAAAGACACCAAAGCTGACTCAAATTTTTAAGCCTGAGTGAGTCTCTAGAGAGATGGGAAATAAGTAAGAAAAAGAGTCATGGAATTAGTAAATTAAACTGCTGTAAGAAAAAACTTAGTTGTGTTCACAGATCTGGTTTGGCATACGCCGGCCATTAGGGAGGCTTCCTAGTAAGTATTTGTGAATGAACGCACGCACGCACGCGCGCGCGCATGCTGGCGCAGGGAAGACTTGCCTTCTGCCGATCTCGTGAGAAGAACAGCATCTGGATATCCCAGGCCTTCTGGTTTAGATCCTCCATCTCCATCTCCATCTTCTTGTGCTCCCACTCAATCTGATAAATTCCTTTGTGGACGTCTTTACTTTCCATCATGCTAGCAACTTTCTTTTGCCCTTGAGTCTAAAAAGGTAAATGAGTAGTCATGCTCTGATTCTGTGTTCGAGACTGCAGAACATCTGAAGCTGCTCTCTAAGACTTAATCTGATAACCTGTATGGGTTTGGAAGCCATAATGTCTTCTCAGCTGATCCTCTGGATAACGCATGTGGTTAACATGACTACGCATACCAACATCTACCTGGTAGCTAGTAGCAAAGAAAACTGTCAGATATGACACTTAAACACCCTGCTGTTTTATACTTCACTTGGAATAATGGTTATTCCATGCATTCATATTAGGTTATATATGCGTATCTTCAATATATTTATATAGGTTATTTAATAACCTATATGAAATTCAGAAATAGTTACAGATAAATAACATTTAGATTAAATATTTAACACATCAACTTTAATTATCAACTAAACTATTAAATACTTAACTTGATATTTAATATAACATGATCTCAATAAAATTAAGGAACATTAATACAGATAGTAATTTTATTTAAATAAAAATGGTCCTAAGATCAGTAAGATGAAATCACTGCGTCTCTAAAATGAATTTATAGCCCTGTTTGGTGGCCCCTACCTTCCATTCTAGTTCTTTGGAGGCTATGGCAAGAAGATTGCTCTAAGTATGAGGCCAGCTCTGATCACATAATGATCTCTGAGCCAGCCTGGGCTGTACTGTCAGTCAAGCATTCAATTTATGTAAGAAGACTACCCACTATCATTTTCTATTCTTTCTCTTCTTTTTTCTCCTCTTTTCAAAATCTAGCTTTCTGAAGCTCATGCAGCTAAGCTATGCCCCACCACGTTCTGCTGTCATTTTCATCCTTTGCCCAGAGCTTGGTCCCTCGACTCCTTGCATTCCTTACCTTTACACATCTTTTACAACTGTATCTCCATCACCCTACTCCTACGCTCACATACGCTCATCCGTTTCATCTGGCCGTCAGTAGCTAAAATACTCTCTAAGTCCAAACAGCTCTCTGCCGGGGAGAGCATGTTGACCAGTTGAGGGTCATACGCTTTGGTTTGTGTGGGGATTGACACAGCCAGAGAGGTTGCTATTGGTACATCGTGAGTGGAGGTCAGAGATACTGCTAATCGGCCTGCACAGAGCAGTCCCCGTAGAAAATACACTGTCCCAGATGTCAGCGTGCTGAGGTGGAGATCCGCTGTTTTAAAGCTCCATCTCCTTTTCCACCTTCCCCTCAGGCGGTGTTGTAGGATGTACTTAGTGTCTTTAAGTACCCGTGTCCTGTTATTGCACGCTCACAAGTGGTACCCCTTCCTTAACCCTCTACTTAGACCACCACTGTCAAGTAGTTGACACTGTGCACAAATTTACTCCTTGGGATCTCTTCTCTCGGGGTATCTAGGAGACAGGGGAAAGGGAGGCGGAGCTAAGAGTTGCAGAGACAGAACAGAGGAGACGGGTAGAGGAAAATGGGTGATTTGTTTGCCTTAAGAAGGCCACACCAATGATTGTATTAGTCTCTGATGTCTGTGTCCTGACTGGATCCAGTCCAAGACATGAGGACTGCTTTGACATCAGACTCAAAGAGGCGGAGTTTGGGATTTTCCCATATGGTTTTCTGTCTGTCTTTGGGGATTACAGTTAAGTGATTGGATGAATCTCAGAAGAGACTTTAAACTTTGGACTTTTGACATTGTTGAAACTTCTATAAACCACGGGGACTTTTGAAGTTTGACTAAATGCATTTTGCATTATGCTATGTTTAGGTATGGCCCTCATAGACTCATGTGTTTGAATAAATCTATGGGGGAGTGGAATGTAGTGGTTTGAATATGTTTGGCCCAGGGAGTGGCACTATTTGGAGGTGTGGCCTTGGAGTAGGTGTGTTACTGTGGGTGTGGGCTTTAAGACCGTTTTCCTAGCTGCCTGGAAACCAGTATTCTGCTAGCAACCTTCAGATGAACCTGTAGAACTCTCAGCTCCTCCTGTACCATGTCTGCCTGGATGCTGCCTCGCTCCTACCTCGGAGATACTGGACTGAACCTCTGAACCTGTAAGCCAGCCCCAAGTAAATGTTGTCCTTATAAAGGGTTGCCTTGGTCATGGTGTCTGCTCACAGCGGTAGACCCTAACTGAGACAGTGTATTAGAATGCACATTTAACCTCACTGTTTTGAACTTTTTGTATCTTAGAATCATGTAGAGAGATTTAAAAAAATACATCTTGGAGCGAGGTCTGGGCACATTACAAAGTTCTACTGTTTTATGGGTGATTCTAATGGTAGCCAGTGAGAGGAAACACTGACACAGCTGAATTAAATACTGTCTTAGTCGAGGTTATCATTGCTGTAACTGAGAGAAAAGATTTATTTGGCCTACACTTCCATGTCACTGTACATCATCAAAGGAAGTCAGCACAGGAACTCAAACAGGGCAGGAACCTGCAGCAGAAGCTGATGCAGAAGCTATGGGGCGCTGGGGGTCAGGGGAGCTGCTCACTGGCTTGCTCCTCATGGCTTAGCCTGCTTTCCAATAGAACCCAAGAAGGGACGGTCCCACCCACAATGGGTAGGGGCTTCCTCCATCAGTCACTAATTAAGAAAATGCCCTACAGGCTTACTGAGAGCCCATTCTTTATGAAGACAATTTCTCAGTTGAGGCTCCCTCTCCCAAGTGACTCCAGCTTGTATTACATTGACATAAAAATAACCAGTGCACTTACCACGGAAACGAGAGACACTGTAAGGCATCTTATACAAAAGGCAGTATGTTCAAGAACCATAATTACCCGAATCACAGAATTCAAGTCTTCAATTATATTCTTATTGATGAGGATTGCATCAGAATATTCCAGAATCAACTGGAAATTCTCCAGTTCCACTTGTCCTTGTTTAAGAAGAACTTGTATTGTCAAATTCACCTGGAATCTCACTTTCTCATCCTGTAATCTGAGAGGAAGGAGACTTCAAAGGAGTGTCTGAGGTATGCTTAGGCTTCTAACTTCACCTCCTATCTGAGAAATAAAGTTCTGACTGAGGGAATGCACCCTGAGTGACATGAAGAGTCGCCCCAGAGAGGAAGCTTTCTAGAAGACCCTCTAAGTGCCTCTTCACTTGAGCTGGAATTCTACTTGGACGTTGAAACAACCATATGGACAAAATTACAGTCGTGAGCTCTTACTGTACGTTAAGAAAAAACTATATAGTTTGTACTGTAATGAGAAGCATTTTAAAATGAATTAGAAATACTTTAAGTGGAAAATTTGACTTTATTGAAAATTTCATATTCTCCCTACATCCTACATCTGAAACTGATATTGAGGATGAATTTGGGAAGCTCACAGAAGATTTTGTCCATGTGGCTATACAGACAGCCTTTTGAAGCAAAGACTTTATACAAAGTACCCCAGGCTCCATGAAGAAAAACATAAACCCGTCGGGTGTTTACAGAGAAATTATTTGGAATTCTGCTTGGTTTTCTACTCAATCCTGAGCCCAGAAGTCTCCAGTGACAGAGACAGGTTCTTTGTATTTTTATGTAGTAGGAGCATATTTTCATAAAACTACCATCCCCCGCCCCCAAAGTTTGCTTTTGCATTAATGGCAAATTCTCTTTTGAAACAAGTCTTGTGTAATAAAGTGCATGACATAAAAATAGAACATTTCAGCACATGCTCGGGACTGCATCAGCAGACAGAGCCGGCAGTGGACCAGCCAGGCAGGAGACTGGCTCTGCAAAGATGACCCTTCTTAATCAAGCCCTGCTCATGCTGTGAATATGAATGGAAAACCCTGAGGAGCTTGAGTTACCGGACGAGTTCGTGGAACACCTGCTCGATCTCGTGGTGCACCGCATCATCGTCTTCCATTCGCTTCCGGAGAAAAGTCGTCATTTCCAGTAGGCAGGCTGCCTTCTGCTTCACCTGATCAACACAACCACAGCATGTCAGGACACGTGGGCACTTGACGAAGACATCTGCCTTTTGACATTTTTCGTACAAAAATCTTAACAAGCCCACCTTTCTCAGAGACTAATAGAAGTTTGAATCCTTTCATAACCCTGGTGAGTTGTGTGAAACGTGGCTGGCACATTCCATGATAATAATTTAGAGTCTCAAGTTGCCCTCTTGCTGAAAATCAAGTATGCAATTGTGTGTGTGTGTGTGTGTATGTGTGTATCATATACATGTATATATACCATTTTGACATCTGTTTCCATGACTTTAGATGAAATTCCGGACTCATAAACATTTGCCAATCTGAAGTCATGTGCACAGACTTTAGGGACTTGGGAGAGAGGAGACAGAGGTGGTCAGGAGGCAGCAGGTCTCTCAACAGCTAAACATGCCCTCAGATTTTTACCCTTGCTCCCTCCCCATCACCTCTTCCAGCAAAGGATGAAGCTGCTTCCGGCCAGCTAAATATAACCCTATGCAAAACTAGATGGTTTCTAGCAGCGCTGTCCAGGAGAAGGGCAACGGGAGCTGTGTGTGCAGTTTAAATTTTGTTGTATCACTTTATCAGAAGTGAGCGAAATAGGTGGATTTAATTTTACTAATACTTTTTGTTGAACACAATCTCTCCAAGATCTTATTCTGCTCATAAGCAATGTGAAGGTTGTTAACGAGACATTTTTCACTTGTTTCTTGGTAGGTCTTCTAAATCTGTCTGTGCATCCTACTCCGAGGACATCTCAGTCCTGCTCACATCCATTCCCAGTGCACGGTGACTGCTTAGCACTAGTGGCCATCATTTTGGACCTTGAGGATTTACATCATTGCAAATAATATTACGTGACTTTTGTTACGTTAATATTGTTATTACTAACTTCTACCCAGTAAGAGAACCTTAGTCTTCCTGGATATACTGACAGGTGTGTTATTTCCTGTTAGTACACTTAAGATACAATTTAAAACACAGTTATATACTTTGTATTCATTTTCGACTTTTGCTCGTCTAGTTGTGCAGAAATGTTCCCAGACAGAGGGGTCCAAGCCTTCTGGCATGTTACTGATATTGTCCAACTCATCCATGGATTTCATTAGCTGGGCAAAGTTTTCCTTATTTAACTTGGCAGATCCTGGTCGATCTCCATAAGGAACAAGACTTGTCACATCTGCCTGTGCTTTCTGTTTGGAAACCCTGGGATTAGCAAGACAAGAACATCAACCTTTAATACTCTCACAAATACCAAAAACCAAACCAGCCAACCAACCAAACCAAACCAACCAACCAACCAAAACCCACTGTTAAGTAACAGACCATTAGCATAAGCCTGACACTGGATGATAATTTCCTTTGTCACTTCAGGGCTGGTGAGTGGGTTACTCCAGGGACAGGCACCCACTTTGTTTATTCATTCCCTAGTCCCTAGACATGCCCTAGAATTACATCATCTGTAATTATTATTGGGCCTGGAAGCTTTTCTTATGCTAGGAAATCATTTTTTTCCCCTGAGTATTGTAAGCAGGCCAACAGACACCCAATAGTAGTGTGAGTGCCTACTGGGTCTGTCTGGCATAGCCACTTCCTGTATCTTTTCTTCAGTAGGGCATGCCTGGACATATGTAGAATTGGAGAAGGGCTCTTTTTGTCTCCATTAATAGATTAGTTTAGTCTTCTTGGGGTGCAGCTGGAAAGAGAAGAGGGTTACAAAGAATGCTGGGCACTCCCTGTGGAGACACTTGACAATGTACAGCCAGTGATGGTTCCACCCATATTTCTAGACAGGGTTCTGGGAGAAGCTACTGGACAGGGCCAGCTCTGGATTTGTGAGACCGTAGAATTAGATTTCAAAGCAAATTCTCTTTGCACATACCCCTTGGTTTACTATACAGCACACTCCCAGGCAAACCTGGGAGCTCATCACACTGCAACCTCCACACTCAAGAGTCCGAAGCAAGAAAATAACTGAACATTCGAGGCCAGTGTGGACCACTTATTGAGCTTCAGGCCAGCCAGTGCTATATAGTTAAGACCCCGCCTCAAAAGATGGAAAGTAAAATGGAAAGGTGCTCTTTTGAAAATAGGGAAACTGAGCTGGGGAGATGTCAGTACTGAGCAGGATAAACACGGTACTTAGTCCTCGGCACTCACATGAAAAAGCCTACTGTTGTGGGATGTACTTGAGACTGGATGTGCAGAGATGAGCTGATCCTGGGTCCCCTGGCTAGTCAACCTAGGAAAACTGACAAGATCCAGGCCAGGGAGAGAATCTGTCTCAAAAACTAAAACCAACGGTAACAAAACAATCGAAAAGGTGGAAAGGAACTGAGGAATCAGGTTGATGTCTGACACACACACAGACTCACACATACATATACACACCCACACACACACTCACACACATACACACACACATACATTTACACACTCACACATATACACAAACACATATGCACACACTCACATATGCTCTCACACACACATATTTACACACACATGTACATATATATACATACACACATATACACATACTCACACACAGTCTTTTTCACAGACATATACATACACACATGCACACATATGCACAGACATTCACATCCGTACACATGCACACGCACATACATACATACACTCATACACAAACACACAAATCCATACACACACACACACACACACACACACACACAGTGGAGGTAAGGGCTGTGGAGAGAGAAGCTAAGACATGAGACAAGACAAGTCCCGGGCTAACTTCCCAGCGTTCGTGGTAACCTGTTGGAGGTGCGAGCATGAGTTGGCATCCCTCACACAAATCACCTCTCTCCTCTGTGACAAACAGCATGATTCTGCATTGCATTTGTTTGAAAATTTAAATTTACTACCTTAGAGATCAGCAAACTATTCCAGCCCTTCTCCCAGCTTAGAAACATATTTTAGATTTTACTACAAAAATCACTGCGAATAAAAACTTTGGTCTTGAGGATAGTCCTCTGAGATTTTCTGAAGAAAAGCAATTTGTGGCCAAATACATGGGTTGGGGGAAATGTTGCAGTTTCGCAATCCCTGGAAATCCAAAAGTCACTAGCGAGTTTTGGGAGGCTCTGCAATAAAGAATGCCATTTAGCTGTAAAGACCAGTATTTCCTCAGATGTGTTCAGTCTTGGAAGCCTGCCTCACGGAACTCCAATTGATACCACAAAGACAGATGTACATTTGTTGGAATATGACTTTGGGAAGCTTGTCTGCCAGCTAGCCTGATTTACGACTTCTCACGTGTGAAAGGAGAACATAGACACTTCACTCTTTGTAAAGAGTAGAAGATATCATTACAGTCCGTCCTCTATCATAAGGTACCAGCAAGATCTTGGAAAACACTGAATTTTGATAAGGGGGACACCTTCACCTCAGGAGGCCTGACTGATCATTTTGTTTGTTTGTTTGTTTGTTTTTGTTTTTCGAGACAGGGTTTCTCTGTGTAGCCCTGGCTGTCCTGGAACTCACTCTGTAGACCAGGCTGGCCTGGAACTCAGAAATCCGCCTGCCTCTGCCTCCCAAGTGCTGGGATTAAAGGAGTGTGCCACCACCGCCCGGCGTGACTGATCATTTTTATCTGATTGGAAAAAGGTAAAAAATTATAACTATTTTGCTTTTTGACATTTATTTGCTAATTGTTTTATTTTTGTGCATGTGCACACATGTCTGCATGTTGTGGGGCACAGTGAAGGTCAGAGGGCAACTTGTGGGAGTTCTCCCATGTGGTTCTGAGGATACCACTCAGGTCACCAGGCTTGGCCCTGCTGAGCCATCTCTCTGGTCCTTATAGTTCTTTTAAAAAGACCCTGATCCTCCTACCCCCACCCCAATTTGATAGCATAAGAAACAGACCTTGGCCGACGTTTAAAAAGTTTGTAGAGGATGTCCACCTGGTGACCAGAAATGTCAGAAAATTCCTTTTTGAAGCTTCGATCTAGGATCTAAGGTTAAACACGTCACCTTCAGGATTGCAGAAACACACAGAAGTTTCTCAATCTGTTAATGCAATTTCTAAACTACACATGGTAGCCGTATGACTTTAAGACCCGGTTTTTACAGTTATTTGAAAGCAAAGTTATGGAGATGCAAAGACTTTCCCAAAGATTTGTTCCTTGGGAGCATGTCAGTGTGTTAGAAGTGCTTTTTTTTTTTGGTTTTTTCGAGACAGGGTTTCTCTGTATAGCCCTGGCTGTCCTGGAACTCACTCTGTAGACCAGGCTGGCCTCGAACTCAGAAATCCGCCTGCCTCTGCCTCCCAAGTGCTGGGATTAAAGGCGTGCGCCACCACCGCCCGGCTAGAAGTGCTTTTTTATATAATAGGTTTTTTTTTTTTTTTTTTAAGTCATCTAGAAGTGTTCCCCAAGAATGTTTACTCAGGAAACACACAAGTTTTGCTCAGTCCACTTCACGCTGTTCCTTCCCGCCTCATTTTATCCCGTTGTCTTTGTGTTATTCAAGCTATTGCTTCTGTTACAAAGTGCTGGCCTTACTACTAAGTTGATTTTATGGGGAACTTACGGGCTCCACAACTCCAAGTTTGAGAACCCTAAACATGATGACCTCGATAACATATTTCTTTTCCCTCAAGGAAAAGCTCAACCTAGGGAAATGTAAGAAAATTCTTTCTAACCCAGAATGAAATTCATTCACAACGGAAGTGGCGGGGGAACTAACTTATGTCCTGTTCAGCTTCCTCGGCCAATCCCAAGTGCAATGATTCTGCATTTGCCGAGTGGAAGTGCCCATGACTCACTTTGTCTTCTGCCACTATGGTGTCATGGTGCTCCTTGAACACGTCCAGATCTTCTCTCGCTTTCTGGATGGCTTCCGAAGTCTTGGTCTACAGTATTGGCAGATAGTTAATTGGGACTGGAAAGTTCTCAAGGCAAAGAAAGCTATAGGTGATTCTAACAATAAGAAGAAACCTCACAGGATTGATACGGTGTCTCTGAAATGGCCTCCTCCTCCTCTGTTAAAGATGTCTAATAGCCTGCAGGCTTGTTATATTTCAGATACAGCCTTGTTATGTAGCTCAGGCTGGCCTTTAACTTGTGGTTCCCCCTATAGTGCTGGATTATAGGCATGTCCTACATTGCCTTGTAAAAGTTCTTGGCATATGTTATAAACGGACTTTTTCTTCTTCATTTTTTTTTTTTTTTTGAGACAAGGTCCTGGCTGTTCTGGAATTCACTATGTAGCTCAGGCTGGCCTCTGACTCAGAGATCTGCCTGACTGCCTTCTGAGTGCTGGGATTAAAGGTGTGCACCACCACACCTGGCCATGGAAACAGACTCTTAAAAAAAGTACGTATGTCATTTGTGATACAGTGAATGTGTTGGTAATGTGCTGAATTAACACTGTCGACATAGGTTGAAACCTGTTGAAACCTGTATTGATAATTAGCACTGATCCTCGTTATCTCTTTATTAAATCTGAATGTGAACATTTTCACTCTAAGCTTGTCATTTTTATGTTCAGTGACACTTGGGAAGACCACATGGTCCACAGAGGGTGATTTTCCCTGGAGAATGTTCAGCGAGCAGCTTCAAAGATTGCACGTCTTGATCAAGTTCTACAGCTGCCCCATGGTTAAATGCTGTATTTTAAGAGAGGGGCTGTCAGGGGGTGCTTCTCTGTGTAGCCCTGGCTGTCCTTGAACTCACTTTGTAGACCAACCTGGCCTTGAGCATGGCTGAACAGGAAGGGCGGAAGAAAAGATATGAGATGAACTAGCCAAAATTGTAATGGTCCCTACTTGCCTTTTCTTTAAGGCATCTCTCTTGTCTCATGAGATTACCTGATCAGAGTGGGGTTGAGGATACTTATCAGATAAGGCTCCCCGAGTGGATCTGTGTCAAAACCTGGGGCAGAGATGCTGGAGAGCCCTGGACTTACCTTCTCCTCCTGCTTCTTCAGAAGGTAGTTGTTCAGGAACTGTTCCCTGGAGCTGAGTTCTTCGTCCAGCAGCAAAGAAAACACAAGGTTGTTTATTTTCAGTTCCTCCTGTGGAGATATGAGGAGGAGGAACGTTGAAGTTCAGCATCCCTAGCTGAGAGAGAACTTCCTGTGGATGGACACAGACTTGACACTCGCCAAACGAGCTTATGAGACGAGGATGTGTTAAATGGCTGCCTTAAAGAAAAGTCAAGTGGGGACTCCTACAACAGTATTTGGTTATTTACCTCATTTCTTCTTTCACTGTGAGTGAAATACACATACAGAGGAATACTTAACACAAGTGGATTGTTTAATGAGGTCCTGTGCAGCCCAATGTACTTGTCATTAACACTCAGTTAAAAAAAAAATCAATTTTGCCAGCACAGAATCCAGGTGTCATCAGATCCTCAGCCCCAGTAGTGACCAGAGTTTTGACTTCAACAATAACAAGCTCTCGTGTTTCTGTCATTCGTACATCAAACCCCAGGCATAGTGGCATTGCTTGTCATTAAGGATATTTTGTCACATCCTCAAGTCCCCTTACGTCCCTTGTCTCCTTCACAATTCATTGGCAGCGAACAGCAGTCTGCAGATGGGTTTTGTGTCTCCCTGGCTGCTTACTCATATACCACAGTTTGTAAGGGTCTCAAGTCTTTTCTAGTCCTTGAAAACTGGCCTCTGGATCCAGAAGCCTAGTCAGACCTTGGTTGGACTCTTTTGGCAAAACTGTGGGTGCCTCCGTGTCCTCTGGTCAGGGCATACAAGATATTGTACTGTCTTTTGGGGATGTTTGTCGCTCTGGATGCTCAAAGCACAAGCCCAGTAAATCTACTGAGAGTTGCAAAATAGTCATTGTTTGTTCTCACTTTTTAAAATTTATTAATTGAAATATCTTATAAAGGAATGTGCCTGATTGTAATTTGTCTTTCAGGGGTATAGTTTGTACAGGAAAGTCAGAATCGATATTAGATAGTTTATCAGTTTGGGGGCAATGCCCCTGTTGTCGGTGTCTGAAGGTGCTGTTGACTTTAAAATTCAGACCCTGGGATCACAGGAAGAGGGGCCTCTGGGTATGGTGTGGAGAATTATCTGGGTTAATGTATCGGGGAAGACCCATCTTGACTGTGGTCAGGATCACTTACTGGGCAGGCGATCACAGACCATATAAAATCAGGAAGAGACACAGGCAGTACGCACATCCACTGCCCTCTGACTGCACATCGGGAGAGACCAGGGCTAATGCCTGGACTTCCCTGTACATTGGTCTAAAACTTAAAACTCTGAGCTGCAATAAGCTCCATCTCCCTTAAGTTGCTTTTGTCAGATTATTTTACTGCAACAACAGAAACGGAAGCCAAGACAGTGAGCAACTGGCCTTTTCTTCTTAAAAGGCCATCAACCTAGGAGTTTGGAAGAACTTGATGAGTTTCAACAAATTGCAATAATAATTATTAATATGGTTATTATAATTTTTGGTGCTGGAGCCGTGCACACGCAAAGCAAGCGTTCTGTCCCAACCCTTTATGTTTGATTCTTAAATGTTGTCCCTTAGAAGAGACGTGACAGCAGCTGCCGAGCCCTGTGGACACTGCCTAGTAGTCTGATCCCCTGTCCCATTATCTGTACGAGAAGATACTCTCGGCATTTCTTTCTTTCTTTTTTTTTTTAAAAGCAGCTTTATTGAAGAATTCTTCATATACCGTGGATTCCGCCAGGTACTGGAGAAAAGCTGATGCTCTGACGCATGCGCACAGCTAGGTAGCCGCTACCACCGTCAAGTTAGGAGCATTCTGCCAGTCCAAGAGAAAACCTTTCCATTGCTATTTCATATCCACCTCTCTCAGAACCTCTCAGAAGGTTCTCCCTTTCCCTAAAGCAGCTACTTATCAGGATGCTGGAGAAGTCAGTGGGAGACAGTGTAGCCGCACCGGGATGGTAGGGGGTGGGTGGGGTGCAGAGCCGCGGCATCAGGCGGCACCAGGCGAGTGTGTCGCTCAGCTTCCTGAGATGGATTGATGTCTCACAGGCTACTTAAAAGGACAAGATGCAGAACCGAAACCTTCCTTTACCTGGTTGATGACCATCTCTGCCTTCACTCTCCGTTCAAAGAGTCTCTTTAGATGCTCATCAAAGTTCTGTGTGTTCTCTTGAATAGAATTCTGAAGTTTCTTCAGTTCTGCTTCTAAAGACTAAATGGGAGGTGATAATTAAATGCTTGTCACCATCGGCATCTGTGGTTTGCCGCATGGAAAAAGCAGAAGGGCAGGGGGGTACTATCTAGACCCATCGAAAATACTGTGTGTTTGGAATTTTTATTTCATTTTATTCCTCTCTCTCTCTCTCTCTCTCTCTCTCTCTCTCTTTCTCTGTCTCTCTCTCTCCCTTCCTTCCTCCCTCCCCCCTCTCTCTGTGTGCATGTGTGTACGCATGTGTACGTGTGTGTGTATGTGTGTGTACATGTGTGTGTGTACGTGTGTGTGTCTGTGTACATGTGCATGTACACACAGGTGTATAGGCCAGAGGAGGATGTTGAGTGTTCTCCTTCATCCCTCTCTGCTTTATTCTCTTGAGACCACTAAACCTGAGACTCTCCATCTAGGCTAGGCTGGCCAGCCAGTGAGCTTTCAGGATCTTCCTGTCTCCCCATCCCCAGGCCCATCCCTGGGGTTACAGGCATGCACAACCATGTCTGGTTTTCTCTAAGTGAAAGCTAAGGATTTGAAGTCAGGTCCTCATACTTCTATAACAAGCACTCCGCAGTACGCTGAGCCATCTCCTCAGCCTGGATGTTTGTTTGCTTTTAGAATTACACTGAAGGACGATCATGTTAACCATCATTAATCAAGCAGGCCTAGTAAGGTCAAGCTGCAGCAAGTCTCCCCAGAAAATTCTTACTACAGATAGTAATGAACAGACATACAATCTGGCCCTGAAAAAAATGTTGTTTCCCCTTCCATGTTTCTAATATCTTGGAATTTTTATATAATCTATTTTGTTTTGACATTTAATCTAAAATTGTGTGTGTGTGTGTGTGTGTGTGTCTGAATATACATGTGTGGTGGGTGTATGTGGAGCCCGGAAAAGAGTGCTGGATTTCTTGGAGCTAGTTACAAGCGTTGTGGATAGCCTGATACAGATGCTGGGATCTGAATTCCCACCCTCATGATTGAGCAGTAAGCACTCTTAACCGCGGAGCCTTCTCTCTCCAGCCTGCTGAACTTGGTTTTATATTACTGAAAAAGTAGTCCAGTGTCCAACATTAGGGAAGAAGATGGGGTGTGAAACGAAACAAGATTATCTGGGAGTGGATTCATTGTGACAGCACCAGGCTGAGCAAAACCAAAAACCAACATGGACAAGCTTAAAAACAAAAAAATCCAATTGGGGTTAAAGTTAACCACTGAGGGTAAAACTACTGCATTGTGTGGTTTTTGGTTTGTTTTCTTTAGTCACCTCACAGAGCAGGTGCTGGGTAGCTTTCTGTCAACTTGAGCAAGAGTCATCTGGGAAATGGGAATGAGTGGAAGGGTTGTCATCATCACAGAGGCTGTGGACAAACCTGTGGGGCATTTCCTTGATTACTGACTGAGGTGAGAGGGCCCCGTGGGCTACGAGTGGTGCCGCCCTGGGCAAGTGGTCCTGGGTTGTGTAGAAAGCAAGCTGAAAAAGCCATGAAGAACAAGTACTCAGAGTCCTTTCATGGCCTCTGTGTCAGCTTCTGCTTCCTGTCAGTCATGACAGACTACAAGCTGTAAGACAAAATGTCCTTCCTTCCTTGTTGGCTTTTTATCACCGCGATCAAAACCAAACCCAGACAAATACTGAACTGAATCCAGGCTGGGCTTTCACTGGAGAATACAATGGACAAAAGCCTCAGGAAAATGAGGCTGAAACTAAAAAACTATTTTTTTTTCTTACGTTAAAACACAGAGTGAACACAGCCTCATACCCCACTGCCTGTCCTAGTTTGCTTTCTATTGCTGTGTTAGACACCAGGATCAAAGGCGACTTGGTGAAGAACATTGGTTTACATGTCCTGATCACCGTCTGTCACTGAGAGAAATCAGGTAGGAACGGAAGCAAGACCAAGGCGGGACCAAGGAGCAGCTGCCTGCCTTCAGGTTCACATCCAGCTACCTTATATTACCCAGGACCACCTGCCCGAGGGTGCCACTAACCTCAGTGGGCTGACCCTCCTACACTAATCAACAATCAAAAAAATGTCCTATAGACCTGGCGACTGGCCAATCTCATGGGAACATATCCTTTCCCTACTTGACTTTAGTTTGTGCCAAGTTGACGAAAACTACCTGGACCTCTCTCCTTCAGTCTTCTGGCTTCTCTACCCTACCTCTCCAAACCTTGACTTCTTCCAAGATTAGTTATTTGGGCTCTTTAGCCTTTTGGCTTTTAAACTTTATAAGCAAGTTAACAATGGATTCAAGGAACTTATTGTTATTCAAGGAAGGCTGAAAAGATAACTCATGATAAACTTGTAAGTTGTACCATCTGGTCTTGAGTGGTGGTGTGATTTCATTTCCATCACAAAAAAATAGATATTATTCACCCTGTTATATATCATGAACTTTCTTTTGGAGAGGTCTTACTATGCAGCTCGGACTTCCCAGATGTTTATTGGCATCCCTGCCTCTGCTTTTCAGGTGTTGAGATTACGAGTATGCACTACCCATAATGCCCAATAACCATCAACTCCTATCTCTGGCATACAAGTGTAAGATCTTTTAATGTGGGCATGTTGCTTCTTTGAGCTGGGAGAACATAAAATAGAACTATATTACAAAAACCTCAAGTAAGAACTGAGCGTGCATCATGCTGACTGTATTTTTCTTCCCTCAGATCCTGAGGATCGTAAGCCCTGGTGATGTCTTGCATGTGCTGTAATAGGTTTTCCTTAAACATATGAAGAAAAAAAAAACCCAAATTATCAACTGAATGGTAGCAGCATGGAAAGGGTTAACATTAATAAGAACTTAAAAAAAAACTATTATGTATTTCTTTTTAAAATAAAATGTCCCCAGTCTTCAATTTTTATCTCTCCTGACCTCTCTAACTTCTTAAAAGAGTGTAGGTCAAATCACTCTCCCTAAGCCATGAGAGGGCATTAGGAAGAAACTGACCTAGAGAATCCAGAGAAGTAATAGTACTTTTCTGTCCTCCTACCTTCCTGTACTTGTCTCTCTCTTCATTCAGCTCCTTGACTTTCTTCTCGTACTCTTTGAATTGCTTCCTCTCGTCTTCACTCCACAGAGCATCAGCTTTGGCCATGAAAGGGGGCTGCGGGATCGTCTGGAGATACAAGGGAAGAACACGCTAGCACATAGAAGACACACCAATGTCACAGCACAGTAACGCCTTCCAACTCGGACGTCAGCGAAAACACGAAACTGTGCGGGAGCAACCGGACGAGCGCTCTGGGGGAAGGCTGGGGGAAAGCCTCATCATTGGGTTCCCATGACTCTGAGAGGGTGATGGTTTTAGGGTAGCCTGGACTCTGAAGTGATAGAATCAGATGCATGTTGGTATCTTTTCAGCTGGAACTTCAGGAAGACCTGGAATGTCACATCTGACCAACTGCAGGTGAAGCAAGATCACTATGTTTGCTTGTTTGTGCTGATTTCCTCTGTGGATGTTATTTCTTCTTCTTCTTCTTCTTCTTCTTCTTCTTCTTCTTCTTCTTCTTCTTCTTCTTCTTCTTCTT